TGATCAGTTGGACAGACAGTCTGATCTGCTTCAACCTCCCATCAGTCCTCTCCTGCTCTCCCTCATCACACATAACGTTGCTGAATTTTAACAAACACACACTTTAGCTGCCGTCACTGAATTATTTTTTTCTCTTTCCGTTATCAATCCAATGAGCACAAACAGTGATGTGACGGCGGCTCATGAAGGTGACCTGCTAACCAGACACACACTAACTCCTGCACTGTGGAGCTGAGACGCCTGTTAAATGTCGGTTTTATCACCATCACGCTGAATCAACACCAGGACAGGCTGATGACAACGGCTGCATGGTGAGATCACAGAGAGGCTTGGAGGAGGCAGAAAGCTGCTGCACACACACTGGAGCCTGTCTGAGCAGGAACACCACCCTGGTACTGGATCTACTGCATGTTTTACTGCAGTCTGGACAATGTGCAGGAAAAACTCTGCTCTCAGGACAAAATGCTGCTTTACTGTGGAGATAGTGTTTGTTTGAAGCGCTCAGCTTAACTGTCAGCACACACTCATGTCGTTTTACTTTTTGGTAGCGACCGGATCGTGTAACTTTCCTCTTTTTTTCCTGTGTTTAGTAACTAGACGGTGGATGTTTTCATCTCTTCCAGCCTCGTGTCACCTGCTGGAGATCCTCCTACAGCTGCTGCAGTCCAACTAGAACTGAGCAACACACACTCATAATAATCACTGTCCTGTTATACTGATGGACAGGAAAAGTTGTGTTGCTCATGAATGTCCAGAATAACAGCAGCGTCTCAGCACAACAGTACAGGAGGTTTGATTTTCCTGCTTTACTCAGCATTTATGAGCCACAACAAACCGCTGTTTCTGCTCAATCACTCGTCTGACAGCACAAACAGAACAATCATGAAACGAGTGTGAACATTAAAACACAGAATAGGTGACGATGACGAGCAGGAGAGGACTGAACGGAGCTTCAACCACATCAGACTGTCAGACTGGTCAACACATGCTGCCTGTCATCTACACTTTATCACATTTATGAGCTGACAAGGAAACTTGTAGACATTTATTCCACTGATCAGGTGTTTCAGTTTGGTTGGAGGTCTTCACCAGAACAGCAGGAAAACACATCAAGTTAAACAGTGTTTTCAGATGTAGCTGCTTAAATGTGCATGAAAGACGAGTGTTTGCTCACAATAAATGTCAGTAGTTTAGAGTTCTGGAGACACACTGACATGTTTTCCAGACGGTTATTTAATGTCAGCAGTAAGGTTTCATACATCAGTGATGAAAACAGACTGTGGACATCAGTGAAGTTTCAACTGTTAGTGGTTGCTGCAGGCTGAATGCTGACAGGTCAGAGGTCTGTGGACACTTCAGAGCTGCCTGCAGGATGTGACTGACAGTTCATCAGACCAATAGGAGAGCAGCAGAGAGAAACCCCGCCCCTCAAACATAACCCAACAGACTGACAGAACAAGGTGTGATCATAGACTGCTATTATAAAATATAGTAAATGTTTTAATAAAATACTACCTCTTTGTGTTTCACGCAGATGGTCTTTGTCATATTTGTGAAACTTCAGTAAATCTGTAAACTTGACTTACATTTTATGTTTGATTAACTCTGGTGTGTTTCTGTTAACTCATACATTTAGCTTCATAGCAGTCCTTCTACATATTTAAATATTCTGGTCTCTATTTAGTGACAATTTTCTGAATAATTATTTCCTGTGTAGTAATTCAGAAAATAGAAAAAATCCCCATCAAGCTCTAAGAACCTAAAATAAAATCTTTAAATTACTTGTTTTGTCCAATCAGCTCTTCACAGTATTTGATTTAAACTATACAGAAATAAGAGCAGAACATTCTTGCATTTCAGAAACTGGTGCAAGGGAGTGTTTAATGTTCTGTCTCATTAAAAGACAGAAATGATAATATTGTTGTCAAAATTCTTGTCGAACAAAATTGTTCATGAACTGATTAATTGACAACTTGTTTCAGAGCTGTACGTGTTTAACAGTGTGTCCGCAGTCGACTAAAGTAGATTTGATCTATTGTGTATATTTGCTTTGGGAAGGACAGTATGGTCAGTAGAGTTTAAATCTGTGATGTGTAAAATACATTTTCTATGTCATCTTGTCAGTCAGATTTATTTAAACACAATTTTTCTACTCTCATAGGAAGAACAACACAAGCAGCATAAGTCTCCATAGTTTAAGAAACCAAATAAGAATGTTAACGTATTTGCTCTGTGTTGTAAATCAGTTCAGTAGAGTTATTCTGACTTAATCGAGTGGAAATCATGAATAAATAATCTCAGTTTGTTAGTGTGGGATGAACAGAAACACCATCAGTGCCGTAAAGCAGCACAAATATAGTCTGTTTCAGTCATGTGTGTTTTAAGGATGACTGTGTTTCAGTGTGTGTGAAACGTCTCATAACAAACGTGAATGAAACAGTTACAATACAATGTGTGTACAGTGTGCGTCTGTCTGAGGCACTTTGGAAAAAACAAGAATTGAAAGAAAAATAAAAAAGTCAGTCAAAAAAACAGTGAAACATAAACAAACCTCCAGTTTGATTGAAGCGCTGCTTTGCTATTTCAATGTTGCCTTTGAAGGTCTGCTGTTTACTCATACAGATCTCAGTCTCCCTCTTCCAGTACTGTGGATCATCTGCTGTGCCTTCCTTCATCCAGTCCTGTTTGGGCACTGCTATGTTGGTGATGCTGTCACAGTAAAACATCTGGACTTCATCAACCAAACCAACAGACACATACTCTGGGAAGTTTGGGACTCCAGAAGATGCAGTGTAGAAATATTTCAGAGAGTGGGTCACTGTAAGAGAAAGTTCACGTTGTTTCAGAACTACAGCATTATAAATCACTGAATAATGTATTATTTACTTGAACATGGAATCAAACACAACTATACAACATAATAGACATCCTAAGAATCTCTCACACAGTCAACAGATAAACACATAAACTCATCTCCAGTTTAGATTATTTAACATTTTTTTATTATTCTGCCCTGCATTAAATATTTACTCTGAAAATAAATATTAATTCAGCCAAATATTTAGAGTAACACTTCAATTTAGTATCCATTTATTCTTTGAGATGAAATTGTTAAAACTGCTTATGATCGTATTAGAAAGAAATCACAAAATAATATATGATTTCAATATTGTTTTCCATCTTCAACAAGCTAAAATGTATTTGATTATATCCTGTCCCTGACGGTCTTTGTCTGTTACTAAAGGCTGTGACAACTTGGGTTTGTTCTTCCTGAGGTTTTGGATAACTACTTATATTTACATAATTTCTAATCGGACAGTCACGATTACTACTATAAAACTAAAAAAATAAAATAAAATAAAATAACTTCACAATGATTATGTGATTTTCATATTTTTCGTCTGGAACATTTTCAGTGCATACTTTGTTGTTGGATTAAACACACGGCTGTAAGTGGATCATGAATACTAAAAAAAAGGTTTGTTTTTGGAAAAATATCTTTATTCTTTGTTTAGGAGGTTTCATCTTCCTATTTTTTCCTTATTTTTTTATTTGTGTTGTGAGTTGAACTGTTGGCTGCGTAATGATTCTGCCATTGTGGCCACAAACTGCTCGGACTGTTTCGCTCATGAAATAAGAGAAAAATAGTGGCATTAGAGCTCAAATCAAGGACGTCCTGTGAGTTCTATAAAATAAATTATCACACACAACGAAAGAGCCTTGTATTCATATTTAGAGAAAGACACGAAGCTTTTATCAGTTACAATGAAAAATAATAGAAATAACTCACCTGCCGTCACTCCTCCGATGCCCAGGAGGAACATCAGAATGAGGCTCCTCATTTTCTCCTGTTGGATCGAAATCTTTACAACTGTAAGAAACTGTGAGTCTGTCCAGATGAAAACTCTGCGTCCTGCTCGACTGTTGGAGCTGAAATGAGGAGAAAACATGGAGAGTTGCAGCATCATCCTCCATCTGAACCAATGAGAATTTATTCTGGGTGTCAACGTCACTTAAATCTGGGTTAAACTCACCCACTGAGGTTATGAACGAAAGTGAAAGTAAAGTCTGCTTATTTTAACCAGTTTTAGATGATGGAAGAGCTGTGGGCTTCATTTGGAGTTTCTTCACTTTGTAGTTCATGACAGCAGTATTTTATATTTTATCTTCGGCTGCTCAGACTGTTAATAATGATTTTATTCTAATGTGATATAATGAACAGACATGAATTAGTTTTCTGGGTCAGAGGTCTCTAAACTACAGAAATACTGATTCACACTGGAGCTCGTGTGATGAACTAACATCTTATTGTGTTTTCATATTATTTATGGCTTCCCTGTGATTTTAAACATTTCTGATCAGAAACATCAAAGTGTGGTTTCATCGCTGTTCAGAGAGTTTCTTGGTGAGCTGCTCCCTCCAGTGGTTCAAAGCTCCACATCCTCAGAGTGAACTGTGGAGGACAGAAAGTGTGAATAAGATGTTTATTTTACAACAGATCTGAGTGCAGGTGAATCATTTTGTCATGAAATGAGATTGTGGGAATCATCTTATATTCTCATATTTGTATCTTGTATTCATGTGTTAGTGTGTGAAGGTATTTCATTAATCACAGGCCTCAACATGACTCCTGGTATAAGTTAGATCAACTATCAGCACTCACAATATAATAATAAAACAGAACAGTGTTGTCAGTCAAAGCAGAAAGAGTCAGAGCTTCTTCAACACCAGCATCAGATCAGTTCTGTCCTCCAGGATAAATGCTGCTGAACTGACTGAACGCTGAAAACTGTCTGACTGAAGAGAAACTCAAAACCACAGTTGATGTTTGGACACCTGATGCTGTTTCTCTTTTCTTTTTTCTTGCTTTGGTTCTGTTCTTGTTTCACTTATCACTTGCTGTGTTTGAGGCACTTCAGAATTATTTAGAATTTAGGTTTCACTTCTTCAGCAGAATTATTCACGACTTCACAAAAACAACGTGTTTCATCTTTTATCTAGACAGAGTGGTATCTATATTAATGATCCTGAGGCTTGAACTGTGGTGGATAAAGTCTCTTCCTGCTGATCAACACCTGAGTTTATCACCTGTACAGAGCAGTCAGCAGTGAGACAGCGCCCCCTACAGACAGATCATGTGTTCACCTGTGAACTGTGAATAAGACAAAACTTTGTCAGAAAACATCCTGATAAAAACTGATCATATTAAATTATTAGAGTCAATGAACAGAATCACTGCTTCATTAAAGCTTTGAACTTTTGTAATCTCTGAAATCTTTTTTGTGTGTGTTGTGTGTAAAGAAATTCACCTCCAACAAATAATACTATAAAAAAGATCTGATGTCTCCTAAGTGAAAATAATTTTACAGAAATCATAAAAGACAGAAAAAACACATGAAATGCGATAATTTATATTAAATATTTATATTATTTATCATGTTTTATTATTTTGTTATTTGTCTTGACTGTGGGAAACCAACTTGTCGTCACATTTTCTTTTCAGCTAAAATGTGATTTTTTTTTAGAGTGAATTAAGAAACAAACAACATTTCACAGAGTTGACATGACTGACTTCACTAGTTGAAGGTAACTTACTTACTACAGAAAGTGTCA